GGCTCCTTATTATAAGGACCCCAAAACAAGGTACCCCTTATTTTCGGAAGCTCCTCTATCGCCCAAGGAGCACCTGAGTGTGATCTCCACCTCCGACCAGTCCTTGGCCGGAATCCAATCATCGAAGGTGCGGGGGCTCAAGACAGAAGAGGCTGAATATTGAACAAAAATGAAAGAATCATGAACTGCAAGTAAGAACAGCAATCACCAACAACTCCGCATAGATAACCAAGTTTACTGAAAATTGTGCCTGTCATTTTCTGGCTCCCTCCTTTTCCCTATTGGATCCCAATTTTTGTCTCGACCCGGGCTCGCACTTAGCCCTGGGTTCGCCTTCGTACATTCGTCAGTTGGAAACAGTGGGTAGTTCTCCAAATTAGGGTCCCTTTTAGGGTCCTTTTTATAAGGGTGCCGTACTATATTGGGGATCTAGAAAGGGACCCTAATTTAGAAAACTACCCCAGTAGATGCCATCAGAAGCGAGACCTCATCCGGAACGAGTCTGGCCCGATGCGGGGTCTTTGCTCCCAGAGTCGGGAGTACCAGCTGCATGGAGAGCTTCCGATTCATGGCAGTCATGGTCACAAGATTAAACCCTAAAAACCCCTAAAACCCCCCAAAACCCCACTGTAACCCCTAAACACTAAACCTTTAAGCCCTTCGGTAAACCCAAACACAGATTCAAGCCTTTGCAGCCTTTTCCTTCTCCCCCTCCGCTTGAGGTGAACTGGGTCCGGGAAGAAGGCCTCTCCTCCATTCGTCAGGCCAGGCCTTCCGACACTATGGGGAGTTCTCTAAATTAGAGTCCGGTTTAGGGTTAAGAGTTTAGGGTTTAGGGTTTAGGGTTTTCTTAAAGGCCGACACTCTAGGGGCCTTAATAATTAGAATAAGGTTTGGGGGTATAATATATTATAATTATAATAAGGAACCCCCAAAACCCTATAATATGGGGAGTTCTCTAAATTAGAGTCCCTTCTGAGGTTTTTTTAAAGGGATCTAAGGATCAATAAGGATTTCTATAAGGGTTCTACAAGGTTCTAGGATTCAGAATGTTTAGGGTTTAGGGAACATTGAGGCTTAAACACTTACCAAGGTTAAGTCTTAGGAAGCTTCGGTTCACTCTACAGTTTCTCTGGTCTCATACCAAGTGTCCTTGCCCTTGCTGTGGGTGGGTCACATCAGTGGCAAAGACCCTGCCTCCCCCAACTTTCCTGTTTTGAGATGTGCGTCGTGTCCGGGACTTCTTCAAAAGCGATTCCCGAATGTCGAAGCCAGACGAGGCAGACTTCTACAGCCGGCACACGACCGGTGCCAAACAGTCGGGCGATGCTTCTCTGGGTGCGGAGCCCACTTGTTCCAAGGTGCGAGACGTTTATGCAGGGGTAATTCGATTACTAGAAAACTGCCTCTGATCTTCTCCGGTACTATGAAGTATACCACTCTCAACATGAAGCCCTCTATCGTGGTGGGGTCCAAGACGGCCGTCATCGTCGCTGCTGTGGATGTTGATATTGTTGGTGGCCCTGTGGGCGTAATGGCCATGATGGTTGCAATTGGCTGCTCCTTTGATCTGGTATTTGCCAGTACCGCATGCCATATGCATACCAGAAAACGCACTGGTGTGGTCAATGTAAGTTTCCACATCGTCTTCCCTAGACTTACGATTCGCCCATGGCGTCATCGTTATCACCATCAGTTTCTTGTGTATGGTCTTCGGCAGGATATCAAGATATCTATTTCCACGTGTAGGCATAGAGCAGTACTATTCTTGTGTGTATATTTAGTGGATGTCTTACTTCTGGCATCAAAAGGCAATGAGTGATGACCCTAAACCCTACACCCTAAACCCTAAACCCTTAATGAGTAGGGTATGAACCCGACAACGAGGTGCGCAGCTTGCGAACCTACCCTTGCACCTCGCCGAGCTGCTAAAGGCTCCCTTCGAGGTCCCCGCGTTCTGGGCGGAACGTTTGGGGGACTACGGGGCTCGTCTGAAGCATCACAGACAAAGCCTTCGATGATGATGATGATGATGTTCTATAAACCCTAAACCCTAAACCCTAAGCTGGTGGTAATCGTGGATGTGATGAGGATGGTGATGCTTGAGTTAGTTCGAAGTCTGAGAGTACCTCAGCCACAAAGTCGCCTTCAGCTGCCTTTTTGAAGTCTCTGAGGGCTTGGGGTTTAGGTGTCTTTATTTGGGTGCTTGTGGTTTCTGGTCTAGGTGATATACGGCTGCTTAGACAACTCAGATGATGAGCAGGATCACCCCTGCTAGTACTACGGCACGTTCTCGTCTAATAGTACAGTCGGGACGACGACGCCGAAGACTGATACGGGTAATTTCCACGACCGTCATCTTCAGCATTATTCTGACCACTGGCAGCTTTAAACAGCCGCATGGTTGATGCCGAATCGGGACAAGCCACGATTTCTAAGCCGGAGCAAGGTCGGAGTTCAGTATTTTGAGGGCCCGGTTGGGACAGGCTCAGGTTGAATTTAGAGACGCCACGGAAGCATTGTACCCGCTGTTTCCGTCAGCTTACTACTCGTTCATAGTCTCGTACAGAGTGTGGATTCCTATTCTTTCTCGTCTTACGATGTAACTTCTGAAGGCAAGGCACGCAAAACCAGACTTGCAATTACAACCAGCCAAACCCGTCCCAGAGACTCCAATATCCCTTAATTAAGGGATATACCTTAAACCATATTAGGGTTCCCATTATAATTTAAGATATACTGCTTAATTAAGGGGTTTGGGAGTCTCTGGGGTCCCTGCTTCAGATCATCTCCTACTTGACGCGGGTCATCATGGCCCGAAGGCGGGGAGACTCAGACTCCAAATCACAGTCATGCCCTTGCAGGCTTCTAGGTTTCGGAGTAATTAGGGTTTAGGGTTTAGGGACAGTAAGGAGCTCTTATAAACTCTTCTGTAGGGTCCTTTGCAGGCTTCTAGGTTTCGGAGTAAGGAGCTTTTCTAAACTCTTCTGTAGGGTCTCGGTGTGCTCTGTGAGGTTTCGGGCGTCCCTGTCCCTAGCCAGCGCTCCTTGCGTGTTCGTGGGCCGTTCTCTAAATTCGGATCCCTTTTGAGGTTCCAAGTATAGTACGGGTACCCTTATAGAACCCCTATAGAAACCCTTATAAATCCCTTGAAGGAACCCCAAAAGGGACCCACCTTTAGAACCCGAAACCCTTAACCCTTAAACCTTAAACCCTCAACCCGAGGCAGCGCACCGACTCGGGGCTCTTGCAGCCGGGGGCGAAAGTGCCCAGCAGCAGCGAGGACGGTTTAGGGTTTAGGGAGCTGGGGAAGAACTGCTTGGAGGGTCGGGAGACTTTGTAAGTAGCTAATAAGTAGACTTATAAGTACCCTGAGAGGGACCCTAACAATTAGGGGTTATAGTACTTATGAGTCTTATAAAATAGCCATTTACTAAGTCCCCCGACCCTCCAAGTGGAGAAATTGTGTAAGTTTCACATTCTGCGGATGTTTGCATGTATGTGTCATTTCGGGTTTCGGGTCATGTATATGTACTGACTTGAAATGCCTCGATTTCTACAAGGTCATGTAGGTACCCACCTACATATGCATGCGTCTGTAAGCTCAAGCTTTCATGTTCTTGTCTGCGCAGTGGGCTGCCATCACCCTAAACCCTAAACCCTAGACCCTAAACCCTAAACCCTAGACCCTAAACCCTAAACCCTAGACCCTAAACCCTAAACCCTAAACCCTTTAGTATGAAACAAGCCCGAGCAAGTGACCTAGTCATGGGAACCCTTCAAAGTCCCAGCCAGTCAAGAGCAAAACACCTCCGACCCCTTGCAAGCGCAGAGAAGCGGCCTTGAGAAGGTACTAAACATATTATGGGGTTTAGGGTTTAGGGTTTAGGGTTTAGGGTTGAGCACCTAAACTATTTGGGTTTTCAGGGTGTAGACTTAGGGGGCTTAATAGCTAGAATAGTAGGGTTTCTGGGGGCCCATTATACTATAACTATGATAAGGAACCCCCCAAAAAACTTAGTGGCCCCTATAGTATGGTTTAGGACTTAGGGTTACTATGATGCGGAACCTCCCCCCCCCAAGAAAAAAAATGAGTGGCCGGTGCATTGCATCCAGGAGCTGCGGGATTTTGGAGCTGACAAGCTCATCCTGGCCCTGTCCAGTGCGCTGGGGGTCCTGGGCAGAGACACAGAAGCAAGAGCAGAGTAGAAGTTATAGGGCTTGCAATAGCGGCTGTCGTCGTCGGTAATAGCAGTAATTAGTACTAGTCGCAGTCGTAAGCGTCGTCGGTTTCGTAGTCGTAGTAGTAGTTTTTGTTGTTGCTGCTGTTGTTGGAGCAGCCGGGGTAGCAGCAGCAACAAAGCAAGAAGTCAGTGGTCTCCTTTCCTCGCAAACCTGCATGTCAAACCCTCTTGGTATGGGTCCCTAAACCCTAAACCCTAAACCCTCTTGGTATGGAACCCAATTCCCTAAACCTTAAACCCTCTTGGCATGTTCCATGCTTCTCGAAGCCGGCCTGCATTTCTCCATCTTACGTTGGCAACCTGGCTCCAAATCTAGGACATTCTCAGGTGGGTAGTTACCGTTATAGGAGCCTTTTAGAAGGTCTCTATACCTTATAGAAGCCTTATAGAAGCCCTATATACCCTAAACTCCCCACCTGTAGTTTCCTTTAACCAAAGACGAGGCCAAAGATCTTTGCCATGCAAGCCACGACCTCCGAGATGGTTTGGCGCAACCGGCCTCGTTCGGCAGAGATCCAAGATGGGGCCCTAAACCCCGAAAAGAGTACCGTCGCTCTGAAAATGAGGGCTCCTGAAAGGGACAACAGGCTTCGGCCTTGGTGGTTTCTAACTAAAACCGCTGCCTGAGCTTCATCACCCGCAGTCCGACTGTTCTACCCCATGGTACTCGTAACGGATGCACGTTTGCCATTCAGTGCGGGAGGCTTGTGGGTGGCTCCTTGACTGCACAACCCGAAGAGAATGGCATGTCGCCAGGACCAAGTACCTTGGTGCCGAAGATGATGACTGCGCCTTTGCGCCAAAAAACAGTCCTACGCTCAGCTGCACCTTCGGCTCTGAAACGCGCTGAACTATATGTGCTTGTGCCCCAAGTTGGAAAGAAAGGGGCATTCAGGTGTCTACAAGGTTCACAGGTATCTATATTATTCCCCAGTACCTTGGGCACAGGGGCCCTTGAGGTGCCCAAAACAAGGCTAGGACCTTAAGAATTCCGTCAGCGCCAGGAAGTGGCCTCGACCCCTGCACGCCCTGGATGCAGCCTCGCACTTACGCTGGGCCGGCAAAAGCAGGGAAGTATGCTTGGAGGATCAGAGACTTTGCAAGTACGGTTATGATTAGGGGTAACGCGTGGAAGTCAGCTGCTCTTCAGGCAAGGAAAGCAAAGAAGCTTAAACTGTTGCAACCTACTCGCCCAGCCCCCTTGCAGGGATACCTCCCTAAACCCTAAACCCTAAACCCTAAACCCAACCCCCCCCCGCGCCCTTGCAGGGATAGCTTCGTTGCTGTCGGGGCTCCTAAAGTCCGTGAACCCGCGAACCCGTGAACCCGTGAACCCGCGAACCCGTGAACCCGTGAACCCGCGAACCCGCGTGAACCCGTGAAGGGGTAGCAGCAATTACAATTTGTCTCTTTCTCTCTCTCTCTCTCTCTCTCTCTCTCTCCCTGCAATACTGGAGCG